TGTTCGAAGGGAGACAGGCTGTAGGAGATCACATGCCGCATCCGCGCCAGGTGCCCGAACTCACGGCCCATCGTCGCGGCGGCCCCTGAAGGACCAAGGGGAAGGAGGGGACGACAGTCGTTTGATCCGGTCCCGGCACGCGCCGGCCCCAACCCGAGATGCCCTCCCTGGCGTTCGTCCTCTTCCCCGGTCCAGGCAGCGAGCGTCCTCAAGCTGCCAGGAGCCACCCGACCCACACCAGAATCCGCACCGGGGTCACCTCGCCCTCCAAGGCCGTGGGCTGAGTCCGCCCTCCTCTTCCGGCGGAAGCGGAAGCGGCGCTGGCCGCCCGCGAGGTCACTTCCGGGAGGTACCATTTCTCGCCGTCCGCGGGGCGGGTGCTGTAGCTCGGGGTCGGGAGAAACGAACCCTGACCCGGGGACCCAAGTGGGCGGCCCTTCGGCCTGGCGGGCTCTGAGCCGACTTTAGGATCCCGGGGCTACCCCTGAGGCCCTTGCGTTTCTCCTCGGAACCCCCCCGCTCTCTTGCCCGACTTTCAGTGGAGCCGCAGGAAGCGGCCGGGCGCCCAGGGGTTAACGAGAGGTAACAAAAGAGGTAACGAGGAAAGGGGCCAGCCCAGTTGCCGGGGCAGCACTGGCCGGGAGCACTTTTCTCACAGTGTCCCGCCGTCTGCGGCCCTGGGACAGACTTGAGTTAGGGACGCCCACGTGGGGCGGCTCAGCTGCTGCCGTCCATCCCCTGGCAGCCTTCCCGGCGGGAATGCCCAGGTTTTTCCTCACGTTTCCGCCTCAAGAAAATAATTGCAGTCATTGTATAGTGGTGGCCCACCGAGCCCGCCGGCGGGGCGCACCGGGCAGTCGAGGGCCTCGTCCCCCTTCACACACCTCCCGGATCCCGGGGGAAGCGGTGTTTTCGGAACGTGCCTTTCCACAGGGCGCACGCTGGTTTCAGGTTGGCACGCACACCCGCCCTGACAGAGGGACCGCACGGGCCGGTTCTCTTGGCCCCGGGGGATTGACTTTGTACCAGCCAACCCAGTTCCTTAAGGGTGTTGCCGCGTCGCTCGTTTTCTCAGCCCCGTTTATGGTGCGCCTTGGTCAGTTCATCCTAAAGCAAAATCTCCAGCCGGCTTGCAGCCCCCAGGCCCGGACACAAGTACAGCAGTTAACTACAGTCCCCTAGCCAGACCCACCACCGTTTGATAAGCTGAAAAAAGCATTTTCTAGGAACTGAACATCTCTAAACCTTTCATTCAAAAATGTGTAGAGGTGAGATGCCTGGGATCCTTAAGGCACTTGCCGCCTTGCCATGTGGCCAACCTAGGTTTGATCCTTGGCACCGCTTTTGATCCCCTGTGCTCCCCAGGGACTGAGGACTGACTTAGCACAGAGCCAGGAGTAAGCCCTGAGTGCGGCCGAGTGTGACCCCAAAACCAAATACATAGACAGCTATGCAATTAAATGAATGTGCACAGTAAATAAGAGTAAAGACACTATATATGTGACATATATAGGGTCATTCTTTTAGTGCTCAGGGGCTAAGTCCAGGTAGTGCAGGAGGATCCAGACTTGACCTCCAGCATGCTGCCAGCCCTTTGGATCCTTGAGCCTGTCGTTGGCCCTTGAGATCAGTTGTCAGGGTTGAAGGTAATGTCCTCATTTTAAAAAGCATATTGGGCTTCTCCAAGCACCTAGCTTACTTAAGACTGAACTATACTGGAACGACTAGGAACCTGCTAGTTCCCAGATCTCTGGAATCTCAGTGTCAGCTGTGACATTCACCCTCCAAACTCACAGTAGTTATTCTGAGGCCCTGAAAGTGGTAGCAGTGGTGATGAAGCTAGAAGAGAGTAAACCCAACAGAACATACCAGTAAATCTGCACATCATCCTGAAAATTAGCTTTCCAATTGGAAATTTCACCACACACAGAAGGCACATAAAAAATTCTAATCTTGGGTCTAGAGAGATCACAGAGTTTCAGGCATTTGTCTTGTACTTGGCAGATGCCAGTTCATCCCTACCAAGTATGTTTCTCTGCACACCACCAGGATTAATCCCTGACCTGTAGGCTCAAAATTCAAAAAAGAGAAAAATATGTATCTTAAAGTTCTGGGAGATGTTCAGGGGCCTGAGTGTCGTAAGCTGCTTTGCATGTTGAAAACTCATCACCATTGGGTCAGCCCCAGCATCACCTAAGGCAACCTCTCTGCCTCAAACAGGGAGCTCAGAGAAGCCAGTGAGGTGTGACCCAAGAAAATGGACAACAAGGAAACAACCCAAGTGCCGTAGAACAGATGACTGGTTAAATAAACTTCAGAACATCTATCTACACAATGAAATACTATGCAACTGTTAGGAGAGATGAAGTCATGAAATTTGCTTATAAATGGGTAGACCTGGAGAGTATCATGCTAAGTAAAATGAGCAAGAAAAAGAGGGACAGACATAGAAGGACTGCACTCTTTTGTGGAGTAGAAAACAACATAACATGAGGCTGACAAGGATAGTAGATACACGGGCCAGGAAGATTGCTCCATAGCTGGAAGCCTGCCTCATGAGCGGAGGGGAGAAGGCAGCTGGAATAGCTGGAAAACAATATGGACAGTCCTTCAAAAACTAGAAATTGAGGGGCTGGAGTGATAGCACAGCGGGTAGGGTGTTTGCCTTGCACACACGGCCCAACCTGGGTTCAATTCCCAGCATCCCATATGGTCCCCTGAGCATGGCCAGGAGTAATTCCTGAGTGCATGAACCAGGAGTAACCCCTGTGCATCGCTGGGTGTGACCCAAAAAGAAAAAAGAAACTAGAAATTGAGCTTCCATATGACCCTGCAATACCACTTCTGGAAAGGGGTCACTAAGAAAGTGATGGCTGGAGGAACTGGTCGAGATGGGAGATGTGTGCTGAAAGAAGATAATGGATCCAAACAGGATAACCCCTCAGTATCTGCATTGCAAACCATAATGCCCAAAAGTAGAGAGAGAGTATGGGGAATATTGTCTGCCATGGAGGCAAGAGGAGGGTGGGAAGGGGGGGGCTATACCAGGGATATTGGTGTAGGGAGTGTGCACTGGTGAAGGGATGGGTGTTTGATCATTGTGTGATTGTAAGCCAAACATGAAAGTGTGTAACTATCTCACAGTGATTCAGTATCACTGTATCACTGTCATCCTGTCCATCGATTTCCTCGAGCAAGCACCAGTAATGTCTCCATTCATCCTAGCCCTGAGATTTTAGCAAGTGCCACAGTGGAGGCTCTTTCAGGGTCAGGGGAATGAGACCCGTCATTGTTACTGGGTTTTGGCATATTGAATACGCCATGGGGAACTTGCCAGACTCTCGGTAACCTGCCAGGTTCTCTGAGAGCGAGAACCCGCATGCTTCTGGGAGCTTGTTTTGTAATCTCTGGATCTTGGCTGTTGATGGAATTACACAGTGGGGACAGTTGGTGGTTGTAACTGCCTAGCTGTAGCACTGTAGCACTGTCCTCCCGTTGTTCTCGAGCGAGCACTAGTAATATCTCAAACAAATTGTGAGACTTGTTGTTACTGTTTTTGGCATATCGGATATGCCACAGGGAGCTTGCCAGGTTTTGCCGTGTGGGCAAGATACTCTCGGTAGCTTGCTGGGCTCTCCGAGAGGGGCGGAGGAATTGAACCCGGGTCGACCGCATGCAAAGCAAATGCCCTACCTGCTGTACTATCACCCCAGCCCTAACTGCCTAGCTACCAGTTTTATTTGATTCAATAAAATTAAAAAAAAAAGAAAATGGACAACAAAAGCAAGGTTTTATTTTAAGATCATTTCTCAAGTTTTCTTAGCCTTTTAATTAAACAGCTCATGTTAGAAAGGGTGAAGTCATGAAATTTACATATAAGTGGTACTACATGGGAAGTATCATGCTAAGCAAAATGAGTCAGAAAGAGAGGGACAGACATAGAAAGATTGCATTCATCTGGGGAACATAAAGTAACAAAGTAGGAGACTAACACCCAAGAATAGCCAAGATAAGTACCATGAGGTTTACTCCATGGCTTGGAGGCCAGCCGCATACACTAGGGGTAAAGGCAGCTCAGATAGAGAAGGAAGCACCAAATAAAGGGTGTTGGGAAGATCTGCCCAGGATGGGAGATGCATGCTGAAAGTAAACTATAGACTGAACATGACTGCCACTCAATTTCTCTTTTGCAGGCCACAGCACCCAGAAGGAGAGAGAGAACAGGAGGGAGTGCCCTGCCATGGAGGGAGGGTGGGATGAGGGGATGGGGGGGGGTGGGAGGGATACTGGGATTAGGGGTGGTGGAGAATGGGTACTGGTGGAGGGATGGGCACTCGATCATTGTATGGCTGAAGCCCAGGCGCTAGAACTTGTGAGTCTACAACTGTACCTCATGGTGTTTCACTAATAAAAAAAAAAATTAAACAGCTCAGAAAACTGGCTGGAGGTGTAGCTCGAGATGCTGAGTCCGTGCCCTCAGTTCAATCTCATTATAATATGCCACTCCCCCCAACCTCCACATCATGGAGTCTAGCTCCTTTGAGAACTTCACCACCAAACCTCCAGGCCCTCACTACCCAGGGTGTATCTCTATCCAGGAAAACAGTATCTGCCCAGTTTCTGAGCACCTCCAGCGTGGCCCTATTTTAAATAGAGAGTGGGTGGATTGAAGAGATAGTACAGTGGCTAAGGCATTTGCCTTTCATACAGCCAACCTGGGCTCTGGCCTTGGCACCACATATAATCTCCCAAGCACCACCAGGAGTGATCCCTGAGCATAGAACCAGGAATAATCCGTGAGCACCGCTAGGTATTGCCCCAAAACCAGAAAAGTAAAAAAAAAAAAAGGTGATGGGGGTGGGGAGACTGGCTTTGTGTGGGAATGTAGCTCAGTGGTAGAGCACTTGCCATTGTGTAAGAGAAGTCCAGAGTTCAAGCCCTTGGCACCATAAAAATAATATAATAATAATAATAATTTTAAAAAGCCAGGGATAGGGGAAGAGAAAAATTAGGTAAAACTAATGAAGATAAATTGGATAATTAGGGTTTCCCAGCTGCTTGATATACACCTGATAAAAGCAATCTCTTCAGGTAGGCCTTCTTGAGATCTGATTACAGAATTACCCGCAATCCACCCACACACCTAAATTTTATTTAAGAAACCAAGCCAAGCTCTTTCTGACTTTTCGGGAAAAGGAGATGGGGAAATGTGTTTCTCTCTAGTTCTTCCAAGCCATGGCGCTTCCACACAGATTTCTTTGGTTTGGCTGCGTGGCTTGGCTGTGTTTTCCTATTATTCTTGGTTCTCGGGCATCCAGGGTTGAGGCGCAGATTGCGAATAGCGCCGAGTTGGAATCTGGGGCTGCGCCTTGGTCTTTGCTGCAGCCGCTAGATGGGAGAGAGAGACCCGGCCTCCTTCCCCCTCTCTTCAAGGTTCTCTATGATGAGCAAGGTGGGACCCCCAGGCTGCAGCCTGATTCCCGGGCTTTGCGCTACATGAAGAGGCTCTATAAGGCATACGCAACCAAAGAAGGGATCCCCAAATCCAACAGAAGTCACCTCTACAACACTGTCCGGCTTTTCACCCCCTGTGCCCAGCACAAGCAGTCTCCTGGAGACCAGGTAACAGGTGTGTAGGAGCAGATTGCTTTATGGGGGGAGCGGGAAGAATAGTATTTACCTCTGCTTTTCAGTTTTAGAATGCTCCCTCCTGGAATTGCATTTTATTTTGTCTGCTGTTCAATAGCCAAATCCAAGTAAATCTGGTGCTTAGTTTATTTCTTCCTATTGCCTCCTGCCCCCTGCAGGTGAACTGGGGTCTAAAATGGCTAGACCCAGAAGACTGTGGCTCTAAGGGCTGACAAGAATGTTGCTGGAGGTTGGCGTCCTGTTCTTAGTCACAGAATCAAGACTAAAAACCAGATATTTTGACTTATTCTTTCCATTTTACCAGTTCTAGCCTTGAAATGGGCATCAAACAACTCATGGAGCTATTGGTGTGCTTTTTTAGATGTGTTCCCCTTGGTTTCTGGGCACTTAAGTGCCCCTTTGGGATAGGTTTTTACAAGAACAAAATGGTTTTTTGTTTTTGTTTCTGTTTTTGTTTTGCTTTTTGGGTCATACCCGGCGGTGCACAGAGGTTACTCCTGGTTCTGTACTCAGGAATTACTCCTGGCGGTGCTCGGGGGACCATATGGGATGCTGGGAATCGAACCCAGGTCGGCCCCATGCAAGGCAAGCGCCCTACCTCCTGTGCTGTCGCTCCAGCCCCGAACAAAATGTTTTTATTAAGCAGCTTGGTATCGTGTGAAAGAGAAAGGATCAGTGGCTTTTAAAAAACAAAAACAAAGAAAAAGCTAAAGGGTTGCAGAGAGATAGTACAGGGGGTAAGTCACTTGCCTTGCACGTGGCCAACCTGGGTTCGATCCCCAGAAATCCCATGTGGTCCCCCAACACTGCCACGAGTAACACCTGAGCATCACCAGATGTGGCCCATAAACCAAAAATAAATAAAATAAAATAAAAAACCGAACTACTACGGGGGCTAGGGCCTTGGCTCAGAGGGAGAGCACTTGCCTTACTAGTGTGGGCTCTAGGTTTCATCCTCAGTGCAGAAAAAATCTTTGCTTGCTAGGTCATTGCTTACAGAATAACTGTTTGACTCAACTGATGGTTTGCGGCTGTTTAAAGCTCACATCTACCTTGATGTTCAATTTCAGAGCCTTTGCTTATTGTCAGACTCAAGTGTTTCAAATTAATTTCAATAATTATATCTTCATTGACTATCTGTTGTCCATTAGGGCTTAGAATATCATCTTAATGAGTCAAGCAAATAATTTCATTACAGTTTTCCCTGGATCAATGTTTTCCATAACAAGTGATAGATACTCTAATGTATTCCAGAGTGGGTAATTCTGCCCTCTGCGGGGTGCTAGAATGATCCAGTCAGGCCGTAGTTGTAGTATCAGCTGCTATTTGGGGCGGAGGCGGGGGTGGGGGGATTTATTTGTTTTGTCTTGTTTCATTTTAAGTGTTTTGGGGTTATATCTGTGTTCAAGGCTTACTCCTGGCTCTGCACTCAGGGATCACTCCTGGTAGTATTGGGTTATAATATGTGGTACCAGGGATTGAAGCCAGGTCAGCCAAGTGCAAGGCAAGCACCCCACCCACTGTACTATCTCTCCAGCCCCTTAGGTGCTATTGGAAGGAACTTTCTGTTTGCTTAGAGACAGTGGATTTGGGTGAGGGTGGAGAGGTGTGCTGGAGAGATTGTATAGCAGGTAGGGTGTTTGTCTGGCATGCTTATGGTCACCCGAGTCCAGCCAGGAGTGATCCCAGATTATTTCTGGATGTGGCCCCAAAACAAAAAGAAGAAAAAAGATTTTAAGGAATGGGTGGCACTGAGTGATTTTTTTTTCTAAAAAGTGGGTTAGGCTAAATAAGTTTGGGAACCTTAGCTGTAAAAAAGATTCCTCTAAAACTTTCTCCTCTTTTATTTTTTTTTTTGTTATTGTTGTTGGTTTTTTGTGGTTTGTTTCTGGGCCACACCTGGCAGTGCTCAGGATTTACTCCTATCCCTGTGCTCAGGGATCACTCCAGGTACTCAGGGCACCATTTGGGGACCAGCCCCAAAACCTTTTCCTCTAGAAAACACTGTTTCCTCTCTGATTGGAGCAAATTATTAAGATTCTAAAAAATCAGTTTTATTGTACACCTGCAGACTGGTGGTAGAAGGCCTCCGTCAGTGAAGTGGCAATGACTTTTTCCAGCACTGTAGAACACTTCTGTGGTCTGGACTGGCATTTAAATTGTATTGCTTTATAACACAGTAATTCCCTGTTGCTTTGACTCACCACCCTGGCTATTCTGAGTTTATGGTGACAAAGAGAATTGTAGTTCCTGGCAGGTACTTACAATTCCAATGAACTTCATTTTGGGATAACTGCTCTTCCTTAATTATTTTTCAGGGAAAGGGTGACTATACCTGGAGTTGTTCAGGGGTGCTGCAGATCCAACCCTGGGATTCTGCATGCACTCAGCCCTTTGAGTCCAGCCCCTTCTCTCCTTTCTTGAGGCTTTAAGGAAGTCAGAAGAGAGAAAGGGTGATGGAGTTTTATGAAATCCTAATTCCTTGACTTCCTGTACCAGTGGGTTTGTATTCAACTTCTGCCACTGGGCTGTTTCTCTTCTCAGGAAGCCTTTCATCCGTGGACCTGCTGTTTAACCTGGATCGTGTGAGTGCCGTTGAACACTTACTGAAATCAGTCTTGCTCTACACGTTTAACAACTCCCTGTCTTTTCCCTCTACTGCTAAATGTATGTGCAACTTGGTAATAAAAGAGCCAGAATTTCTTCTCAAGTCTCTTCCAAGAGTTACTTTTAACTCCCAGCTTGAATTTCAGAAGAAGCACAAATGGCTCGAGATGGATGTGACCAGTCTCCTTCAACCGTTCGTGGCCTCCAACAAGAGAAGCATTCTCATGGCCGTGAACTTGACTTGCATGAAAGAGCAGCCACAGTCTTCAGCCCAGGACGGCACATGGAACTTGCCTCTTCTGGTGCGCCCCTCATTGCTTTTGTATCTGAATGACACAAGCACCCAGGCTTATCACAGGTGGTATTCCGTCCACTCACAGAGGAGACCTGCCCAGTGTCGCCACCACAAGAGAGGTCTGCCTGCCCATCACCGCATGGAGCCCGCTGTGGTTTCAAGGTCTTCCCGTGCCCGAAGGGATCAAAAAACTGGCAGCTCAGAGTTAAAGAAGCCTCTGGTTCCAACTTCCTTGAACCTCAGTGAATATTTCAAACAGTTCCTTTTTCCCCAAAATGAGTGCGAGCTCCATGACTTTAGACTTAGCTTTAGTCAGCTGAAATGGGACAACTGGATTGTGGCCCCACACAGGTACAACCCACGGTACTGTAAAGGGGACTGTCCAAGGGCAGTCGGGCATCGGTATGGTTCTCCAGTTCACACCATGGTACAGAATATCATTTATGAGAAGCTTGACTCCTCGGTGCCCAAACCATCATGTGTGCCAGCCAAATACAGCCCCTTGAGTGTTTTGACTATTGAGCCCGATGGCTCAATTGCTTATAAAGAATATGAAGATATGATAGCCACAAAATGCACCTGCCGTTAGCCTGTGGTCCTCTAACCTGAAGCCTGGAGTCTCATGGGCAAAGTCAGTGCCACATTCCCCTCTCTGCTTCAAGAGACAGACCTGTGTGCCTTTCTCTAAGTGTAAATGGCAGAAGAGCTGTACAAGCAGGACCATATGAAGAGTAGCTTTTTCTGTGACAACAGTGTAGGATAACCTTTGTATTCCCAAATGCAAGTGAAACGTAATTATTTTGAATAGCTTTATGTTTTTCCCTATTTTTTTTTCCTTTTCACAGGAGTCTTTTGGATATAGTGTTTTTGAGGAGGGGAGAACTAGTATAGATTTTGTTTGGAAATATAACTCCAGATCATCCAGAGTACTATTAGTCTTACTCATCAATAGAATAAATTCTTGTCGGTGGCACATATCTTCTCTGTGTATATGTGTGTATGTAATTACATAGTGATTGCTTTTATTTAAATTGTTTTTGTGTTTTGGGTGTGACCCAGCAGTGCTCAGACTTCTAACTCTATATACAGGGATTATTACTGGTGGGGCTCGAGGACCATATGAGGTGAGTGAACCCAGCTTCACCACGAGAAAGGCAAGTGCCCTACCTGCTATAGTATATGGCCCCAATGATTGCTTTTAAATGGACTTTTGGGGATTGAAGAGTTAGTATGGTAGGTAAGGAAGGCTCTTACCTCGCACATTGCCAACCTGTGTTCAATCGCAGGCACCACATATGACTCCCCGCCAAGCACTGAAAGGGGTGATCCATGATCACAGAGCCAGGAATAAGTGTTGAACCTTTGCAGTGTAGCACCCCTCCCCCAATTTTTTAAATTGTAATGCTTGTTTGAAACTATGAGGTAGTAAAACTTGACTTTTGACCTTTTTTTTCCAAGAAAAGGAGAAGCAACCTACCATCTCTACCTAAACCCTGACAAAAATGACAAGATTTTCTGACAGTAGAGAGTATACAGCACAACCAGTTCATTTCTACTGGGCTAGTTTGATAGGTATATAGGATTGTGAGTTCTGCTTGTTAGATGGTTTGTTTTTACTTGTTGGGGCTATTCCCAGCAGTCCTCAGGGACTACGTCTAGTTCTGTGCTCAGGGATCATTCTGTGTGGTGCTCAGGGGGCAATATGCAGTTCCAGAATCAAATCAGGGTTGGCCATGAGCAAGGCAAGTGTCTTGCCTCCTATATTAGCCCCTAGATGGTGGTTTAAACCAGTTATTTATATCAGACAGTTTAACATTTGTTCCATTTGGAGGTTCTGTTTATTTGAAGGAAATTGCCTTTCAGATTTTCTTAAGAAAATATCATGTTCAAGACTTTAGATTTTGATTTTCTGTTTTTAGTTATACCCAGCAATGCTTCCAAGTCTATTCCCAGTGTGGTGCTGGGTACAGGGCGGAGTAAGGTGAGGGGAACCTCCCACTACTTAGATGACCATGGGGTGCTGGGGATTGAACCTGAGATTCTTACATTCAAAGCATGAGCTTCAGACCTCTGAGCTATGAGCTTGGCCCTCGAGATTTCTTACATTTATTTTCTCCTGTATCCATTTAAAAAACATGCTATGGAAGGTGGTCAAGGAACTTTTTTTTTCTTTGTTTTTTTGCCAGCTTACCTCAGTTCTCATCTCTTTTTCCCTTTTGTTTGTTTTTCCACTTGATTTTGGGACTGCTCCCGCTGTCTCCTTGGCAATGACTGGGTTTTATTACAGAACTTGCCTGTCTGGAATAGAAGCCTTTTATATGGGTTTCTAATACATCTCTACCTTGAGAGAGCCCTAGGCATGCAGTTAACAATGTAGTGATTTCTGTTTTGGGGTTTCTAAAACTACAAAAACTAACTCATAGATGCAAAATACAGTTTTTATATTTTTGGTCTGATCTTTTCTCAGTATGATTTGTTTAAACAGCTATATGGATATAGTTCATGTCCCACAAGTTTACCCATTTACGGGTTTGTGTGTGTGGTTGTTACTGTTCTGGGTCCACATCCAGCAGTGCTTGGGGGCTAGTCCAGGGTTGCTCCTGGTGGTGCTCAGGGGACTGTGCAGTGCCAGGGATCTAACCACTCCACCTTAATGTCAAGTATGGCTCAGACTGTTGAGCTATTTCTCAAGCCCCAGTTCATCCACTTGTAGTAAAGTAAGTAAAGTAAAGGCCCTCCCGTTGATCATCGATTTGCTCGAGTGGGCCCAATAACGTCTCCATTGGAGACTTTGTTGTTACTGTGTCTGGCATATCGAATACTCTCGGTAGCTTGCTGGGCTCTCCGAGAGGGGCGGAGGAATCGAACTCGGGTCGGCCATGTTGGCCGCTTGTAAGGCGAACGCCCTACCCGCTGTGCTATCGCTCCATCCACTTGTGGAGAAGTTTAATAACTTAATATGTTACCCCTCCCAACCTCCCCTCAGCCCTAGACATTCCCTTATTTGTTCCTATTGATTATTGATTTCCCTGTTCTGGATGTCACTATGACTGGATTCATAATGGGGTATTCTGTGACTTTCACCTAGTGGTCAAGGTTTGCCTGTATCATAGTATGCATAATTCCTGTTGTGGCAGATCACTATTTCATGTATGGCTAATACCACATTCTGTTTATCTGCTTACCTTGTTTTCCTCCTAACCTCTCCATTCCTTGTTGCAGTGAGTGACTGGAGGTCACACACATTTTGTTGTGGTGCTCACCTGGTACTCACCACATGTTCTCTTGTAATACTAGCTGCTGGGATCACACTTGGCATGTGGAATTAAACTTAGGCCTCACTTTCAAGTGTAATTTTTTAACCTTTTAGTGCTAAACTTTTTCTGTGGTAGAGGGCTTCCAAGAAGTGCTCAGGGGGCCAAGGGACCACTCCCAGTGATACTCAGCCAACCAGGTCGACAGCTGATGCCAAGGTTCAAGGCAGCGGAGCTGCTCAGGCCCTGCAGTGCCAGCAACCACCCAGCTGTGCTTAGGCACCCAAATACTTTCTCCTGGGCCCCTAAACTTATTTCTAAGTACTTTTTTGGGGATTATGAGTACTTTGGGCTTTTGGGGTTTTTTTTTTTTTTAATCTTTTTTGTTGTTGTTGTGAGGAGAGCTTTCCAAGAAGTGCTCTGGGGCCATTCCCAGGGAGGGATTCTTGGACAATGAGGACAGCAGTTCAATGCCTCGGCATAAAGATGAGGTGCTTCTCGGGGTCTGTGGTGTTGGGGACCACCAGAGCCACGCTGGCAGTGCCTGGGAGCCTCCAGGGCTACATCCAGTTGATGCTCAGGAGACTGTGTGATCGGGATCCTCTACTGCATTATTTCCCGGTCTCAGTACTCTATCTGAATTTCACTTTTAGACTGTTTCCTGGTGTTATCTTGCATACACATTACAAACATAGTTATACGAACGCAAATGCTCTGTTACCTGCTCATGGTTTTTTTCTTCTTCTCAAAAACAGTTTTCAGAAATGGAAATAAAGGGAAGTTTAGGTGACCCAGATTCAAAATAACTTTGCCACCTTGTATAATCTGGAGGAATAGTCACTCTCATAAATGAGGCCAAACATCTCAGAGTTAAATGCTGTTTCAAAGGTTTTGTATAATTTTATGTCTAACAGTGACATCACATTCTAAAACACATCCAGAATGAACAGGGTATAGAAAATTACGGCAGTGCACCATCAAACTTAAAAATGACTGCTTTCAAATGGACTGCGTGAAATAGATATCAACATAGGGGACCAGAGAGATAGTAAAGCAGGTAGATAATTTGACCTGTGTTTTATCCTTGACACCCCATATAGTCCTCCATCACCACCAAGAGTGATTGCTGAGCACCGTTTGGTATGGTTCAAAAACATACTTAAAGAATTCCTTAGTACCCCAAATTGCCCTTGTTTGTGTGTGTTTTTCTGCAATGGGTTTTTTTTGTTGTTGTTAGCTTTTATTTTTTTCATGACCTAAGAATGGAATGTTATCTGAAATCTGAAAACTTTTGTGGTTTTGTTTATTTTGAGGCCATATCTGCTGCTTACTGCTGGTTCTGCACTCAGGGATCCCTGATGGTGCTCCACGTGTTGGACGTACTAGGGATTGAACTCAAGCTGGCCACATACAGGCTGTTTGTTGGTTGTTGTTTTGGTTGGGGTTTTTTTTGGGGGGTGGGGGAGGTGTAGGCCACTGGCTCTGTACTTTGTGGACCATATGTAGTACCTGAGAAGCGAACCAGCATTTGGCTGCATGCAAGGCAAGAGCTTCAAAGATCTGTGCTATCTTTTCCAGACTGTGAAATCTAAAAGTTTTGGAAATTAAAAATGAAGAGGTAGTTCACTGGAACTTAACTAGTCGGTCAATGTCAAAATTAGTAGTAAATGAGGCCAGAAAGATAGCCCAATGGAATGAGCCCATGCTTTGCATGTAGGAGACAGGGTTTAAGCTCTGGCACTCATACTACCCCCTGAGCACTTACAGCAGCAACACCCAAGTATCTAGTAGAGCCAGGTATGCCCCTGAACACCCTATGCAGTAGTAACAACCCCCCCACCCCCATAGGAGCAAAATAATTGTTCACCCTCATGATCTAAAACTTTTACAGTGTTTTGATGCTACAGCTGATTAACAATTACAGGAACCAATAAGCTTATCTCTCCCCCATGCCACCCCCCAGTTTCTGCTTTCTTTTATAGGGCAATGTTAATATTTAGGTCTGATAGAGTTGCTAAATTTAACCTTTAAAGAATGTCTTCTACACAATTGAGGATATACTAGTCTCCCAACTGCTTCCTCCATAAGAAAACCTACATTTCTTCAGTTACCCTTTTAAAAGGTGCCTGTTTAGAAAATAAGTGAGATTTGAATCTGGAAATTCAAGGCTGAGGCTATGCCTGTCTTAAATAGATGCATTCAGCTTTGGTATTTGGTCCAGATGAGATATAAGGCCGCCAACGCCATGAGGGCCTTAGTATGCCAGGAACAATGGGCCACCTCAGGAGCAGGTTTTACCTTCAGCTCTGAATTTCCTGCTCTTTATCGGCTTAAATCAACTCCCGTGTTACACTGAATGCTTCTGTTTTACTAATCAGCTTCAATGGCAGCAGTCATTTGACTGGGTTTTAGAGCTCTGTCAAGGCAGTCTGTGAGAGAAATAAAGTTTCCTTTTCTTTTCCTTTTTTTGGTGGTGGGTGAGGGGTGGTAA